CTCTTTCTCTCTCTCTCTCTCTCTGATTTGAATGATGATGTGTTACGAGTTTGTCTCTCCTGTGTCCGAAGTGAACTCTTGTGACTTCCTGCGAAGAAGAACTTCTTCCGGAACTCGTCCATTAGTTTCCTGGGTAATCCCCAGATGTAAGGAAGCTCAATGCTCTTGTCTTGTGAACGGTGGATGCGTGTGTACTATCCCCCGATTTGTCTTAGATGCATCATTGGCATTTTCGCACCTTCCAAAATTGATGTATGCATGGAGATGTTTGTATGTGAATTTTTGCGTTGATTTTACCCTGATCTCGATGGGATTTTGTTCGAGAATGCAAGAGTGTTTAGATATGTCGTTCCAAATGCAGTGCGCATGCCATCTGCCTTATGTTGCACGGCATCTGCAGACAGTCTAGGGGGCAGCCTCGAAAAAGCCAGGGGCCTTGTGTTGTTGTTAATCTGGTCTGCTGAAACTGAGTCGCGGGTTGATCCCTCAAAACTCCAACCCGATCAATGCATGGATGCTTCCCTTGTGTCAAAAGGAAGGAAAATACTAGTTAGTTCTTTTTCGATTGTGCCTTTTGATGACGTCTCGAGGGTGTTTGCAAACTCATTTTGATTGATTGATATGTGGACTAACGGCCGCTCCTCGATCGGGCGCCAGCCTCCCGTATCTCCCTCGCCAACGCGCCCCTTCCCTTACAATGAGGAAAGGACACGTGTATGCGAGTGGGACGTACGAGAAGTTGTCGCACGGATCGGCAGACAATATTACTTCCCTCCCGAAAATCGTTGTTCGGGTTTGTGGATGCGGGCTTTGTCATTATTGATACGCACTTCCCACCCACTCAGTACTGTTGCCATTTAACGAGCTGCTTGTCATTCTGTGGACGGCAGTGGCGCCCCATTGGCCTCGAACCCTGTGCACTGAGTGCCAGCGTTTCGATCGCTACGAATCAAAGGGCTTCCACTACCGGATACGGAGTGAAGATGAGCACAAGGAAAGATCCACGCGGCTGAGGCCATCCACGTCAGACTCGGAACTGACCAACGAGCGACGTCGGGACTTGATACGAAAACGGGATACGCGGAGTGTACCGAAGCCCTTCCGCTCTAAACGAAGATCAGTAGCGCGGTGGGAAGCTCGACAATACTTTTTGGATTGAATTTGGATTTTTCTCTTTTCGCGCCGTTCCCGCGCGCGCATTCCGCGACGCGCGAAAGCAACCAACTCACTTCATCGGGCCAACACGGGGGATTTCAGTTCTGTCTGTGTCCCCACACTCAATTTTCCAAAAATCCTTGGCACACCCCATCTTGCTGTTTTTTTTTCTGGGCCTTCTTTCCGCACTCTTAGCACTCCGAACGGAAGACAGCACAGGGCGTGAGGTTGCACGTCACAAACGCGCCTGGTGCTCCTATCTGTTGGTGGGGAGCATCACCTGCTGGAAAGCGGGTCCAGCATGACTGGCCTGAAGACTCAGGGTATTAAACCACCAGTATTTGGCCCAGCTATCGATGCCCAGCCAAGAAACGTCCTCCGGCCCACGTTTCGCTGAACTGCCAACGCGATGTTTTTTTTTCCATTTTGGCTGGCGCTTCCAGCCTTTGTGGTCTGGTACCCCGAAGCGTGCAGGTATCGGCCCGTTAACAGCTAAGGCCCACGGCCGATAGCTGGGCCGAGTACTGGTGGCTTAACTGCCAGTGCCACTAGACAAAAGTCTGCCTCTTTAGGCCATTCTGCCTGCCAAGCCGTTAGTTGTGTGTTTGAGTCTTGTATTCGGATTACACATTCTGGGGCTGCCTGATACAACCTGCAAAGCTGGCATCTTTCTTCTGTCGATTGGGGGGGCAGGCCACAGCTGGGATGACCAGGGGGCTTCCAGTCCCAGCTCCGCTGTACTTGTTGTCAAAAGTTACAGATAGGGGGTATGATAGAAAAGGGGCCAGCTTGTTTACTTTGGGTGCATGGCGCGTTTCCAGCCCCGGAGAGAAGTGCCTTGAAAATACTGGTGGTTTAACGTATGGCAACAGTCAATCCCTGCTCCTGAGGGCAATAAATGCTGTCTTCCCGATGTACTGGTGGTTTAGTCTAAGGCCCCATCTGTTGTAAATGGAACCGGATTCCAGCAGTTATTTCACCAGTACCTTTCCCTGCTTGAAAACCAATTCCGCTCCAGGGTATGCAGGAGCCAAAAGGGATCGGGCCGCCATTGATAAATTTCACCCACAGCCCGTTTTCCGTTTTGAGCCTCGTTTTCCTGCCCGAGCCTGATATATGGAAAAGGTACTGGTGGTTTAAGCTCCCCACCAAGAGGTATCACATAGGAAGTACCAACTCATGAAGTCTGCCCATATCACCTCCAGTAGTTGGCCTTCCACAGGAGCCAAAAAAGAAGGCTAGCATGGCCCCTCTGCAAAGGACAACCTGCAGCAATTGACAAGTGGGCCTAGGAAGGGGGGCGGGGGTTGGTTGGAAAACAAAGAAAAAGAAGTAAGAGAATCTACCAAAGACTGTTCCATGCTGTGAAAGAACCCAAAAAGAACGCAAGAAAACAAACCCCTCTGTGCCTTGACAAGTCGACAGACTCGGGACCATGTCCCACTTGTCGAGCTTTAGTTCCGGTTTCGAGTATACATGGCTCCCTCCCTGCCA